GCATTGAAGACAATGTAGGAGTTGATAATCTCTAAATTAACGAGTCCTATGAACAGATCCTTGTAGCCTGCTTCTTGTATTTGATGCTTAGTTGCAACGAGTATCTATACCATGTACCATACACGATTAGACATTTTGAGCTTGTACATAACAGACTTACCGTTGTAGACGTAGCTGATCATGGACATCGACGCCGCCCATGTACGTCTGATAGTCCTTCACAATGCGCGGGCAGACCACTTCGAGCTGCTCTCCTGTCAACTTGTCCCGACGTACAATACGATCTGGCTGCACACTCCCGCCCGTACTCAGCATGTGAACGGCTCGTGTGTCCCACCAAAGCAGCACACGCATTACTGGTACCGACAATGATTCAGCCACGATAAACGTGCCCCGCTCAATGTTTGCTGGCCTGTTCTTTGGAATCTTTGGTGGTTGCTTCTTGTCTCCAGCGTGTTTCTTTGGGGTCAGCTTTGTACTCAGCCCTTGGCGGTCCGTCCGAACCGTACCAGTAGCGTAGAATATTATGGTCAGGAACTGCATTGATAGCGGCACAGAAGAATAAAACAGGTCCATGACAACGAGTCGCATTCTCCATTGGGTGGTGCAGTAGGCCCAAACACTTGCTTCAGGCTGTGCACGACGGCGGCAGGGTCATACGTTTGGTCAGCAGAACTTCCCTGGCCCGACCTCTCTTTAATTTTTTTCACAATACACTTCAAAGCTTTATCATACAAGATAATAGAGCACAAGTTAGTATCATACACGATAGCAATACTTAAAAACAAAAAAAAGCAGGCGTGCCCGGAGACACGCGTGGTACTCACCTAATATAATATGCTGAAATGGAGCAGCACAACATGAACAGCTTCGTGCCCAACTTGTGGGACTTGTCCTTGATGTACACACGCATCCTATTGAGCGTGGAGGGGGACGGCAACATCGCTTCGTTAAACGCCATGATGGCCGGCCGGGTAAATCCAGATGCAAACCGATCTTGCAGTGCGTCTGCGACAGACCTCAGCTTCCACGCACGATCTGCCGCAGCGCTTGGGTCTCTATTACGGCTGAAATGCAGATTCCGGGATATATGCATGAATCTGTCGCGCGTCATAAAGCGCCCAAAGGATCCGCGGGGAATATCGCCTTCCTCTCTCGTTTTCCAATCGTTTGCTAGCTTTTCGTTGTTTGGAACTACGGATCGGGCCAGCAATAGACCAATGAAAACGCACAGCTCTCGTGTCTCGATAATTGGCACCCTCCGGACTTCTTCACGGATTTCTTCGACCGACTTGGCTTTGAACCGTGGATGCTTCAGCTCCCGAGCGAGTTGCTTTTCATGTGTTCCTTGTACGCTTTCATCTAGACTAGCTTCGAAGTAATCGTTGGATTCGGGAGCAATATCCTCCCACAACCGCGGTTGTACCAAATAGAAGAAAGCTCCGGATGGGGTTGAACAACGCCTTTGGGGTAGGCCCGGACACACCTTTGTACAACTGCGGGTAGTCCTGCCGCAATGCTTCAGGCGAACGCGACTCGTAAGGCTCTTGTAGATAGGTATAGGGTGTATGCGTCGTCAAATTTGAACAGCCATTAACGCCGAGCTCCTTCAAATATGCATCTGGTACTACATCCGAAGCAATGCCATCCACACCACCGAGTGCTGAGAGTAATTCGTCGTCAAATTCATTTCAGGTGGCGCAGGTTCTTGTGCCACGTCATCATGAATAGCATCGCCAAACCGATCGTCTTCGTCTCCATCATTGTTCTCGGCGTCTGACTCAAAGGTTGCAAATATGCTGGGGTCATCGTCGTTTACAATCTGGTTCACATCTACACATACACCATATAGCAACGATACAAGTTAGTATTCCTGTATACCATGTTTATACAAGTTACCCGACGGACCATTATGCCGCGTGTCTTCTTTCGGTTCTTCTTCCACCCAGTCATCTCGGTTGACCCACACTGCTTGCAGACTGGTTAGATTCTTTGTCTTCCTCAACTTAGTCATTTGGTTGTCGGCTTCGGAATGATCCGACGCATTGCTGCTCAATTCGGCTTCTTCAAAGTCTGGAGCCAAGTTTCTTTGACTAATTGGAGAGTCTCCAACACAACTAGACGCCACATATAAAAATAGTTCAGTCCAAACGTGTGTTATACCAGATATTACCTCCTGAGCTTCCGATGGAATGCTCACTATTGCCGCTGGGAGAAAGAGTTGTAGCATGCGGTGAATCAGCTTGTAGCGGCCTCTTTGGTGGACTTGAAGCAAGATCCAGTGGTGTACCGGAATGCGATGGTGGGGTCTTGTGTGACGGACCTTAGGCACATAGACGAACTGGGGTGGTCTCGAGAAGTTGCCGTTGAGCCGGTGCAGGTGCAAATAACGAGGGACTGCCATCGGATGAAGAAGGATTCGAATCTAATTTTCAACATACACGATTAGCAAATGTAAACGTGTATCATACAGCCCACAGTACACGTACGCTTCGCTGTCACAGGTTTGGCAGCCTTCGCAGCACTTCGACGTCCGGCAGCGCTCGCAGATCCATCACGTCTTGCCTGCTTCTTTGCTCGAAGAGCCACTGCTCACATAACACAGTCAGTACAAATCAAAGACATTCAACAGAATATTCAGAGCAACTTAGGTCAATCTTGTCCAGGTACTTCATCAAGGCGTCGTCGCCAATAAACACGTCCTCTCCTTCGACATCTGTGATCGTCTTTCCAGGCTTGAGGTAGATAAAGTCGACGGAAAGGCCTGATGGCTTCTTTGAGGTCCAGCCATCCTTTTACATTTCACGCCATTGCGCCCGGAATGTCATGTTGGGGATGTAGAGTTCTTCGCTCAAGAGGGGAAACCCTCAGAAGTGAGCCATAAATTTGTGCGGTTGCAGACGTCTACCTATGAGCAATCATATGTAGATTGCTGGTTTGATCTGCACGAACTTTCTATCTGTATCTTCAATGTTGGTGCTGTCGGGAAAGCATGGAATCGACACCTACCTCTATTTGAGTTGGAGTTTGTAAAGACCTATACAAAAAACAAATGTAATATTTATTAACTTGTATGGTCCACGTTAAGAAACAGGCCTTATCTTGTAAGGTCCAGGCTCTCGGGTCAAGGGGTTAACAAATTCGTTTGTATGAGTCATCAAATGGTTAAACAATTTCATGCCACGAACGTATCAGTGGCGGTAATCACTCCGGCCACATTACAACCTAAACGGTTGAATAACAACTCAACCGACCCCACTATAATACGTGGTATTTTAGCAAATTCAACACCGCGAGCATGACGCTTAACGCGCGGGTAGCACCCATACTGCGGACACTGGTATGCCTTCTCATCGTGTATTTTCCCGGGGCACTATCTACTGACGACTCGGTCCAGTTGAGCGAGAGTTTTGGCGGTCCCCACGGAAGAGAGATTTCGGATCAGGATTCAGTCACAGCAGGACAGACGGTTGGGTCGATTACGATGCGAACGCGTCGATGGTATTTCACTGGAGGTAACAGGACCAACAGTGGTAACGTTCCATCACGGCGGACCTGGCAGAAAGGCTAACACCTTGGTTCTAGCCAGAGAGGAATATGTCACGTCAATGGAGACGCATTGCAAAGGTCGGACACGAATCTGCTACTTGAGTTTTGTGACGAGCGCCGGTAACACCGTGTCTGGAGGTATGAAGACGGAGCGCAAGAAAATAGTAGCGGCACCCAAAGGTTTCCAGCTAGGAGTTTTTTTTTTTGACAGGATGGTGATGTGATTGACAAACTGGGTGCGATCGGGACACGAATTTCAAGACCAAGCTTCGGGTACAGAATCTCCTGCTTCTTCTGCATCTAATAGTGGAGTTCTTGCCACGACAGGGCCTGCATGGGCTTTAACTGAATCTTCCGATTCTGGTGAGGACACCACTAAGAAGAACGCAGCAGAACCGACTTCTTCCGTTGCGTCTGTAGCGTCGACTGGAGACTCTGCGGTCGGGTCTGTACAAGAACCTGCGGGGTCGATTGAAGACTCGTCTGCTACGTCATTAGAAGGATCGGACGTCTCAATTGGAAGCTCTAAAGCAACCACTACGCAGACGTCATCGGCGTCGCAAGTAGAATCATCAGCAGTTGCGTCGGCTGCTGGACCAATGGTCCAGTCGGAAGAAAACTTACAGCTAGACCCTGCGCGGCGTGGGGTGCGTTCTGGCGGCGCGACATGTGGGTGTGAATTTGCCTTTGCGACTCCGGAGGCGTCAAACCGGCGGCAGGGTCGACAGGAGAGGAAGAGCCGATATCTGTCAAAGACTTCATCCAATCGGGTGAAAGCTTCGGTGGACCCCACGGCAGAGACTTTTCTTACAAGAATTTCCGCTGGACAAATAGTAGGTTAAATATCCGTGTTCGCTGGTACACGTCTGGATGGCATCCGTTTGGACATTTTAGCGCCCAAGACAATCGTATTTACTCACGGAGGAACAGGGGGCGCTCGGAAAGTACTCAAACTCGGCAAAGGCGAGTATGTCAACTCAATGGAAGTTCATTGGGGGGGGAAAGATGGGCGTACTCGTATTTTCTACGTTAGTTTCTTTACAAGTGCCGGCAACTCGCTGGTCGGAGGATCAATGACAGCCGACAAGAGTACCGTGACTTCACCGGAAGGCTTCTAGTTATCAATATTTTTTCGGCAAATCTGGAAAAGAGATCGACAAGCTGGGTGCTCTTTGGGCGTCCATTGATCTCGTGACACCAGAACCAACACCTTCTACACCCGAGGACTCCCCAGGCACTGTCGCTCCAAAAGACATTGCAGGAAGTCTGTCAGAGGTGAGGCCCAAGGCGAACACAGGCCCTGTTCAGCTGAGTGACTCTTTTGGTGGGCCCCATGGAACCCAGTTCTCCGATCAGCTGGCTTGCACGTCTGGAATGACCATCAGCTCTGTAGCTATTCGAGCGGGTGAGCGTCTTGACGGTCTTATAGTGCAAGTCTCGGCTCCCAAGGAATGGAGTTTACTCACAGAGGGGCGGGTGGTAAGGAAAACACACTTACGCCCGAGTCTGGCGAATACATAACTACACTGGAAGCTCACTGGGGTTTAAAAAGCGGTCGCACGCGCATTTTCTACCTTTGTTGGAGCACAAACAACGGCAACACGGTATCGGGCGGCTCGCAAACGAAGGAGGAGCGCTCAGTGGCTGCACCAAAAGGCTTTCGGCTTGTCGGTTTCTTTGGCCGGTATGGTGATGAAATAACCTTTATCGGAGCAGTGTGGTCGAGCATTGCACCCATCAACGAAACCAATACTACCGCCACGGTATCTGCTGACGAGGATATCGCACTTGTAGAGCTCTTTGGCGGTCCACACGGCAATGCATTCTCGGACATCGACATTAAATTTGGCCCAACTATTAGCTCGATTACGATCCCCTCGAACAAGCGAGTCGATGCAGTAACGTTGCAAGTTGTAGCACCCTCAAAGCTCACTTTAAATCATGGAGGACGCGGAGGTACAGAGAAGACAATCACGCTTGCTACTGATGAGTACGTCACTTCCATAGAAGTTCACTGGAGCAAGAAAGACAAAAGCACACGAGTCTTTTACATCAGTTTCACTACCACCGCTGGTCAAACAATTTTCGGTAAAACCAAGACCAACAAGTTTGGAGTCGCAACTGCTCCGGAGGGATTTGTGTTGAGTGGATTGTATGGTCGTGCTGCAGACGAAGTGGACCAAATTGGTGCGATATGGACGAGGAAGACGGTGAAGAGTATATTTCCCAACGATCCTTCGGGGGTGGGGAATGGTACATACGGTACTACAATTCGTAACTGGGTGGGTCCTACCATCGGCAAGTCCAGTGATACCGCCTGCTATCGAAACTCGATGGACTTTGATATTAACAACATTTGTTCGCTGGGTTACAGCAAGGATGACGACGGCTGTGCAGCCCGGTGTCCGTTGTCATACCCGATTTCGTGTGGCTTGGAGTGCATTCCTCAAAACGACGATTGCGTCCTCACAGCACTCGCAAAAATCGGCTCTGTGGTCGCTGTAGCGCTCAATGCTGCCACTAGCGGAGTGCTCGGCCAGATGCTGGCAATGTATAAGATCACGCAGTGGATTGTCTTGTGCGTTCGAAATATCGTCGAGGTGATCAGGGGTCTGGTCTTCTATCTCCGATACCGTCAGACGACAGCGTAAATCTGCCGAAATGCTAACGATCGCCTACCAGGCTGATGTCGTTTTGTACGACCTCCCCGTCGCCGTCTCAAGATCCCAGTCCTCCAAAATGCTCAGCTCGCGGACACAGTGCTGATTATCGTCGAAGGTATCGTGAAGCAAGCCATCACAAACGGTGAAGAAATCATTTCGACCGGAGCCAGTATCATGAGTCTGGTCACTGGCAATGGGATGGTCAGCAAATCATCGACGACAGTAGCCGAACTTGACGATCTGATTGCCCAGAACTCGAGTTGTGGCTGGGAGCTCAAGCGGCTCACCGATCGCGTCACTCGTGCTGTGCTCAAATACGGAAACGCGAGTACTGTGGCTAACGACATTCGAGTGAGGGTGTACAAATCGTCGATCGTTCTGAACGATATCCCCATCGTCACGAACAACTGCATGGGCGAACTTTTGACAACGAAATTGAAGACAGCAGCATACGAGACGCGCGACTTGCTGCGTAAGACGTTCGGGGTAATCGTTGACCAGCTCATAGAAACGGGGAAGACGGACGGTGGCAAGGACGTCCCAGATGACGACTATATGCTGGAGGTGTCAAACATGGGTCTGATTGTACTCTCAACGGTCGACCCGACAGGCATCGCGTACATGGCTTCACAGTTCGTACAGCCGATATGTGGACCCACTGCTTACGTGGGTGAACTCGACGATGGAACACTGTACGACGCACTAGGACTCAAAGTTTTGGACGAGGCGTTTGTGGGGAGCTACGGGCCGTACACGCACGCGGGTGATGGCGTTATCCTCCTTAATTTTGAGCGCGTTGATACCAAGGATGTGACGGTTGTAGTCCACTTGGGTGGTGACGAGTACGCGAAAGTTGATATCGGTGCGGGTGATGTCACGTCGTGGCAAGCGACGTTTTCTGAGCTGGAGGATAAGACCATGTACTTGGACCGCTGGCGTCCCAGTCTGGCGGGGTTGCCCGGTAAATCTGGTGGGTCATTACTGATGTGGACTCCTCGATCGTCCGCGGGAGGTCATATCACCATGCACGTCAGGATTAATCCGTCTTAGTACACGTACGAACACGTGTTCCTCGAATGCATTACATGGACATTGTTTTGTGTTCGTGTTCGTGTCTGTGTGTCATTCTAGATATTTCCTCGCTTAAAAAAAACGATTTTTCTTTGCTTTTGATTTTGTCATTGATAGCAAAACTTGCTGTGCGTGCAAGGACAAATGTTAGTTGGAGTCTACGTCGCGCTTCACAGCAAAGTTTTTGATCAGCTTCGGAGCAGTGCTTGCATCCAAATTGACGGATTATATCAGATCATGTTGCAGTTTATTTTACAGATGATTTTGTTTTGCCGACTGATTTAAAACATTTTAGTTAATTTGGTCACGTGATCACGCAATTTAAGCGTATATCGCTTACATATTTTGGAGACCCGGGACTACTCTCGTATAGATTTACATCGATACCATCTGCAGAACCTGCCTCACCAACCAACAAACAAACTGACGAATGCTGGATGGAAATGATAAACGATCATACTGAAAGCCAAAGGTACTATTGCGTAACCACGAAAAAATGGCACTTTAATCGGAGAAGACGAAATGGTATCCGACACCGCCACTTCAGCGAAAATGATGTTTCGTGCAAGCATCGCTTTTAAAACGTCGAGGAGTAAGTGGCCGATTCTCTGATACCTTTGACCCTGTTGTAAACCGGTTTATACTGATTTGTAACCAGCTTCATCTCAGAAGTGATAGACGCCATGTTATTCTCCGGGACCTTGAACACCTTGGTAAGAACGCTAGCTGGGTCATACTCCTTCTTTATCCATCGCTCAAACAACTTTTGCCGGATTTTGAAGGCCTCTTCCGGCGAAAACGACATAGCTCTCGAAACCACAACGGCGAACTTGTCCTCACCTCCGAAGCTGCCCCGTAACGCTCTGAACAAATCCGTTTGATGTTGGGAATTCTTTTCGTTGAAACGCTTGATGTATTCGTCCAGCGTTTCCAGTTTTCGGCTTTTCGCAGATAAGACGCCGGTGTCAGTGATCCTCAGTAACCTGAAGACGTCTTTGACAGACTTCTCGCTGTTCAACCAGCCAGACAACTGATCCGCCTGCAACTTTGTTGCAAGATCCTTGGAATTGGCTGCCCGCTTCGCAGTCACGAGACCTTTGGCAGCAGCAACCTCGTCGTACTTTGTTGAGAGTACCCCGAGCACTGAAACTTTCTTCTCCGGGTACTTATTCTTGACCTTTCCACGTAATCGCTCAGAATCTTTAACTTCGGACTGGCAAGATGTCAAAAAAGCGTCAGCTTCTGTGACAGCCAAAGCTTCAACTTTATGGATTCGGTTCCTTTGGCGAATTTCGACTTTATTGGACCGATAATCTTGTCCAAACCGAAGATCGCCCTAGCTTCGCCCCTCACTTCCGTAGGTGCTGAAGTTCTCAACAGTCTTGTTGAGTCAACTGCCACCGAGGCTGTCTCGCATGTCAGAAGCAACGCCACAGCTAGTAGCCCAAACTAGTGCCGCATTGTCTTGAATGTACAATTGGTGCTCACTCCGGAGTATCTACCGTTGTTTGTGAAGAAAACTGCGGACGAGGAGCAATACCTTTCAAAATATTTGCCAGAAAGATTACGCAACAGTAGATGAATACGTTTCTCTAAGTCTGATTGACCACGATCTTGATCAATCGAAATTGACAAGACAGTATGAAGTATTATTTTACATGTACAGTCGTGCACCTACAATTCGGCACCGGTATCAGTCGATACCCTGCCAGATTTTATGATTACGCGAATCGGATGCGCAATTACCTTTGCCCATCACCACCCTAGCAATTAACCTCAACGGTTTCCCCTCCTCGCCGAGGGATGACACGCCGCATCGATCTGATTTTAAATTTTGGATCGGACGTCTTCATACAAACACACACTTTGATTTTTGCTTTAAGACCCCCCAACTTGGGGGCCCCAAGCAGTAAAGCACACTACCGTCCAGAGTATTCTTAAGCGGTCCGCGGAAGTTGCCGCCTTGCCGGACGCCTATCGCGACCGGAAGCGCTGTTGCGCGCCCGCGATTCGCGCGTCTGACGCCAAGATTATGCAGATGATTGGCGTATATTTGGTACTGAATTAATAAATAAAATATCAATGCACTGGATTTGCGTTTGTTCTTTGTGCACTTATGCCCTGGCACTGTTGATATGGGCCGCCCTGCCGAATTGTAGGTGCACGACTGTACAGATAAGTTCATCTAAGTTCATCTACAGTAGCGATCAGATTCCACATTTTATTAACAACTTCGGTCGTGCTCCATACTAGCCAGAATGGTTACGCAAGATCCCAATACATTCTCGATCCAGATTGATTACGGGGCTTTGATTTCCTAAAAAAAATACTGTTGCTTATTAATACGTACTTTAACCTAAAAAGTTAATTATTGCTAAATATTTGGAGCGAGAATACTGTTTTTAGTTATTTCCTTCATTGCCAATGCCGAACTGTGGTGCGGTGGGACACCCAATTCAATGATTTGTCTACCGCCGGAAAATTGGGATGGCCAGAGATAACAATTCACATCCCCAAACAAAATCCAGAAAGATTACGACTTTTGTCATGTAAATTTCAATTAATAAATGTTTTTAGAACATTTAAAAAGGCTCTACCAATAAATACAGCTCGAGAGATATTTTTGGAAATGGGCGGTATTTTCCGTGTGGAGGTAGTATCAGTAGTATAAGTATAACTACATGTAGTTCCTGAGCGATCATACAGAAATACTTGCATGTATCTGCATCGGCGTTTGAGGCATGGACCTTCCACCCAATTGGAACGAGGCGGCTTTGTCGGCCGTCTTTTCTTGCTTCATCTTTCCGAGCTGCCTCTGCCACTTGCGAAAAAAGACGTAACTTCATCTCTTTCGATTTGACGGCGGGAGCCACTTTCGAAGATTCGTAGACAGAAGGTCACTCCCAGAGCTTCATATAAGTTTATTGTTTAGCCGGAATTGACAATTAAGACCCGTCGGCGGAAATAGGCTTTCATCTGTGTTCCTTTCCCGGGTATAAGATGCGCAAAGGTCCGCTGTATGATGCTCATTGTACATGAATTAGCTGCTGACACTAGTAAGGAAGGTGTGTGCGGCGAAAAAATAACTGAGGCAAGTTGCATCATGCAATTTCCATGACCAGCTCACATGAAAAAAAAACGGCTGTAGGCGTGCATGCTTCGCCAAATCAGCTCCGGCTACACTGTACTCTATCGTTGGTGCGATGTTTGCAGCATCTCAGGCTCTGCAATACAGAAAATTTAACATGAGAGGTGGAGCAGTCAAACATCGTTGAAGATACCGTCATGGACTTCGACGTCGGACAGCCAGCTTGCAATTCGTCAAACGAGGGTTGGATTCTGGCCAGCCGCATCTTTGGTTAGCTTCCGTGCTGCGGTGCGCCAGTATCTACTGCTTCCCCCCCCTCCCTCCAGTACAGGACTGCTCGCTCTGATATGCCTTGCCTAGAAGCCGAACCTAAGAACAACCACCCTGTAACGACGCATCAACGTCACAGCCAGCGATGGCCATGACGTTGGTACCAATGCGTCCAACTTTCTTTAATTATCTTCCTGCTTGTCTTTGCTGACTGCCGGCTGTCTTCTTAAGTTGCCAATGAACGACCAGGCAGACACACGCCTAACCGAAAGGCAATCACCATGTTTGGACGAGTATTGCCAAACATGGAACTTTAATGACAGTCATTCTTTTTCATTTGAATTCACCATGAAGATTCTGACCCGGTTCGAATGAACAGCGGTTCACTACTACGCTACGCTACTTGAAGATTCGACTCAATGACTACTTAAAATCTAGTTCAGTGAAATGTATATACTTACATAGGATACCAAGGGAATGATAACAAGCACTGCTTCGTAGCCGACACATTTAACCATTTCAATCTCACTTTCCAATTTACCTTCTTCGAGGAACATCAGTAGCCTCCTGCGCCTTACCTTCGAGTCCCCATCACTAGACTATCGCCGCCATCCTCCGCTTCGACCCCACACGACGTTTCCCTCGTCGCTGTTCCTCTGCGCCGTGCTCTCACCAGTCGTCACATCTGGTGGCACTTGTTGGTCTTCGTCCGGGAGGGGTTTTTCATTCTCTATAAGCTACGCGACACGTGGAAAGCCACTCGTTGAGCGTGTGGCGTCGTTTGTTCGCCTCCCCATTCGTCAGATTTTATCGTTGCGACCTCATTTGTATACAGCTTGCTGCTTGAAATTTATGCGTGTGTACTGCACTAAGCGTCTGGTCTATAAGAACTGGATCAAGTTAGTACCCGTACCTAACGTCGCATCCCTCATCAACGTTATCGTTGATTGCTTGTGCACGGTAAGTGCCTGGTCTAAAAGAACCGGATCAATTCAGTACCTGCACCCCTCGTCGCTGTCCACCTGAACCCAATTACCCTTTTTCGGCACTTCATCGCTGAATTTTTCGACAATTAACCATGACTTCCTTAAATCCTCAAGGATGGTCTACTGACGCTATCACGCAGAAACGCATCAAAATGGTTGACAAGCAGCAACAGCTGCTTGAAGCCATGAGTAAGCGTATAGTGAAAGTGGAAGGTATCCGTCTGCCTGAATTCTATGGCACGATAGGAGAATCTGTTGATTTGCACTTCGAGCAACTTGCTCAGTACTTTGAAGCCAAAAATTTCGATTGGCAAACGACAACCAAACCTCTCGAATGTTGGCCATTGCGAACCTTAAAGGAAATGCTGCCGCTTGGTACAAGCTAAGCAAGCGTGATATCAAGGACATGCATGACCTTATGAACAGGCTGACCGATGAATTGGTGCCTCCGGATTTGCAAGAGCGTTTGCGTGACCAATTGTACGCGCTTAAACAGAAAAATTGCTCTAGCTTGGATAATTACTTCTCGCGCTTCCGTGAAGCCATCATGCAAGTGACATACATAAGTGAGTTGAACAAGATCACTTACTTTACACGTTGGCTCGTCAGTCCTACGTACGAAGAGGTGAAATATC